AATAAATAAATGATCTTTAGATAAGATTTGAGGTGAATTTAAAATGTACCAATCCGTTTACGAATCTTCAAATCTTCGAGTCGGTCAGAATTTCGTTAACCTACAAATTAATAATTAAGGGGCCAATAGCCCGGAGCGGAGATTTTCTTTATCTCAATGGGGTTAATTAAGCGGCAAATTCTTGTTTCTCATAAGAAATTAAAATGTGGTAAAAGCGAGGAGGATGCCGGTGCGCCGCCCCTTACAAAGGTGCTACCGGTTTTAGACATTTTCACGGCCAATTAACGGTAAAGTATGGCATAATCGGTTCGAGCAGGTTGTTCTCTATGCGCAGCGTTTCCAGTTATTATGTTTTCCTTTGTGAAATTTCGGCGAAATAAACCAATGTTGAGAAAATGTAAGTGTAGATTGAAATATTTTTTTAATTTTCAATGTTTTAAATTTCTAAATGTCTGCGTTAAATTGAAATGCTTTGAAATGTGTTTTACTACACAGCAATGTTTAAAATAAATGTTCATGAATTAGATTCAGTGTACATAGTAAATCATTTTATAAATTGTTTCGACGTTGCACTGATACTCGATATAGGTAGAAGGTATCGTGTCGTGCTAGATACTACAACCCGATTTCCTTGGAAAAGAATATAATTTATTCACAAATAAATGCTAATTACGTTGTTAATAAAAACAAATGAAACAAGTAATCGATATTCGACTAATGAAGCTGGTGTAGATTCTCGAGTTTTCATTTTGTAAATACGTATGTAATTTTCCAATCAAAATGAATGCTTCAAATATAATTAAATTGGAAAAGTATAAACTTTAATGTTGATAAATTCCACAATTATATTAATAATCCACTAAATTAGAGAGTCTTATTAAACTCAGTATCACCCTCTGTACTAATTAAAGAGAAGCGAACGATATAGCCGGGAACATTACGAACTAATCTCCACAACTAACCCCACAAACGCAGGATGTTCACTGTTTACTCGAATTCCGGCAATAGCTTCGACGACATTCATATTAATTTTATATTTAATCTTGTTTATTTGTTTCTCTCATTTCGCGAGAGAATTTAAATTAATGACACTCCTTGTTTACGGCATTCCACCCTTTCGCTATCAATCATGTTGATAAAGCTCTTGAATGGTTCAGCAACTTATGAGAACACTTTATGGAAGCTGATGATCATCACCCCCCATTTGGGCGTTTCACATTGTTTTCGTTGAAAATCCGCGTATATTTCATATTCAAAAAGCTATACGAGTTCCCATAAGCAACTGCATACTCTGTAGTAATATTTGTTTAAAGACCCAAACGCTTTTTCGTAAACGAATGAAGGTATGGGGAATTAATCACACCAGATTCGAGCAGCGGCAATTGATAACATAAATTCGAGCTTTAAATCGTCCGGTCCTTGATTAAAGTCTTTGGGAAAATCGATACGATCAAATCCGCATTATTCGAGAACGGGAAATATTTCATTTGTATCTGTGTGTAAGTCAAATAAAACGATTTCGCGTTATTTCTGTAAAAGTTTCCGGCGTTTTCTAAAATTTTGCCGCGTTCCCTTTTCACCGTTCGCCGGGTGATAGGGTCAAAAGGTGATACTGATGCTTTTCCGAGGGAGCTTCTATCACGGATCCGGGAAGCGAAATCCACGGAAGCTAATTTGTCCAAACACTTTTTTCATAAAAATTTATACGTGTTGATATAGTTTATTGAAAAAACAAAATCGGTTACAAACGAAAATTTCATCAGTAAAATAAAACTTAATATTTTTTCATTTTTAGCGAATATATATATATATAACTGCTCCGAGCAAACACCGCACATTAATAGAAACGTTAAAACGAAACTTTCAACAATAGAGATTTATACAATTCGAACAACAATGCGAACGGCAATCATTCATTAAATCCTTTTCCAATATATTCCTGTGATTTTTTCATGCACAATAATTATGTGCGGGAACATCACCAGGTTATTTCAGGCATGAATAAACATGCACTATTAACTGAATACAATAGAACCATAAATAGCATTAAACGTTTTAATTTAACAGAACGTTTTAATTCGACAAAACGCTTTCAATATTAACTATCAAATACCATGCCAATTATAACAATGCGTAACTTAGCTATAGCGGATTTCTCATTATTTTTAAATTTAAAACGATTTACACACAATATAAAATTTATACTCGCCGGAAAAATATTCGACTTTTGACTTCCGATAATTTTTGTAAGTATATAGGTACTCTCTCAGGTAAATGAAAAAAAAATTATTTGTGTAATATATGAAATGTTTAATCAGCGAAAATTTCTTTACCTTCACAGAGCATTTTACAAGAAGGGATATAAGAAAAATGAGAATTTTAGGAATTTCTTTGCTGGTGAGCGTTTTAAAATGAGGGCCACTGACAATGAAGAAGGCAATTCCGAAGCAATCGATTTACTTGTTTTGCACAACAACAATGTCTCAAAACACACTCTCTCAGACGCTACCCTCATCCCTTTACTTCCTCCAACAATTCTTAGCAATATAAAAGTACCCCGCGGAGTACGATTTAGTCGAACGGAACAAGCGGACCAGAAGTGTTTTATGAAGATACAAGACCTAATAATACTCCCCGGAGTCTACTGGAATGAAACTGCTATGTACTCGAGTTGTGTAGTTGGAACAAAAATAGAGGACATTTATAACTGACGTGTCCTCCGACGTTTTGGTCCGGTTGTTACCAAGTTTGACTCAAACTCTAATATTACTTTTTGCACTTTTTTTTACTTAATTCAAAACTTATGAAAAATATAAAAGATCCCATCGCCTCCTACCACTACTACCCTCGCGATTGGCTAGCGATCGACAGTGAATCGCTTCAGAATTTGGCAATTTTTTGTTAACTAATTTTATCGCCAATTGCCACTGGTGGGTCCACCTCCAAGCCGGTTTAGAATTTAGCATTTTTTTGTTAACTGACTAATTTTTATCGCCAATTGCGGCGGGTGCTCCTCCTCCAAGCCGTGATTGCCGTAAATAAACACAGGGGAAGGTGAAAGTGGGATCACACTTAATGTATTTCTGAAAAAATGAGACGTGTACTCTGTACCTATACATATAATTAGTTCAAATAATTTTGACGGGCCCACGGTCATACCCAATCTATTTGTAACCATAATTCGCAATTCAGATGCGCAAAATATTAAATTGCCAAAGGATAACCAATACAAAACCTTGTTGAAAATTTTTCAAAATTACAAAGTATCACAATAAGCCTGCTTATCTAATACAAGCAGTATATACAAAGTGCTTTATAGAGGGCAGAGTTAAAATTAAATCTGAGATAAATATAAAACTGTTCATAAAATATCTACCTATACGTGAATAAAAATTCAGTGAACTTATGAAAAATAAATTTAATAAAAGTAGGCATAAAACGTCAAACTTTTACACGAAAAGTAAATAAACCGAAGAATTTATATGCGAACGTTGTTAAGTTATAGCTTATAGCATACCGTCAAAAATCGCGCGCAAGGAAATTTATACCTACATGGCCCTTCTAAAAAAATAAGGCCAATCGTCAAGCATAAATACAAAAACATGATATTTATAGATTACGAATATTTTATTCGTTTTATTAAGTAAATAAGGGATAAGGAAATTTCTAAAGGGTTGTTCCCACGAGATTTTAAGTTAAGAGATTAACCTAATAAATAAAATTAAAAATAAATTATTAAATAAATCCGTTACTTTCCTTTAATTATTTAATTATGGGTTGTATCAGGTAAAGAAAATTGATCGTATCACAATTTTGTGTAAAGCAATTTCAGAATGTAACAGTAAAATTAATGATCAAGAGGGATGAATTTGTGACAGAAGCCAATATAGGTGAATGTAAAAAATATAGCTATATCAAAAATATATTTTTATACCAAAGATAATCGAAAGTTTCAGATATGACAGTTCAAGTATCAATTATTTATAAATTACACAAAATATAGATGATATATGACCATATAAAATTAGCAAACAACTGCAGAAAAAAACCCTTTAACAAAAAATTTGATACAGAGTTTGATACCATATAATTGATACCAGGGGGAGATCACTCGAGTTTGGGGTCGACAACACAGGAAGGTAACCTATTTGAATTTCGCAGTGATTTATGATGAAGCCCTATTAAAAATTTAGAAATGGGAATCCACTAAAATTGTCGCATTGCATTTTGAGTAGATATGTAGTAGAAATAGTGAGGATAAATTTAAAAATGTGACAACAATTATTTATTGAAGCTATTATGTAGATATGTATGTGCAGAAGGAATCTCAATGGAAATCAATATTTTAGTAAATGCTTATTTTCGATAAATTTACTACACGGTATAAAAGTTACCGGTATCAGATTAATTACCGACAAACTAATCATAAATTTAAAAAGTTTTACACTTGGGGAAACTTTGTTTAAAATGAACTATGTCTAATATAAACAATCATTTGTAGTAAAATATTAATGCTAAGCCCGGTAACATTTTAAATCTAATTGTGCAAAACAATATGCATTTCAAAAGTTTTCAATATGGAGGCGACAATTCGTTATTTAGGAGACCATTATCAGGCCATAAAAATACAAAGATGTTGTTAAAAAAGTATAACTTAGAAATCAGTATAACTCTCTGCATAATTAGAATAATGTAAGGTATAAATATATAAGGTATAAATAAATAAAAAATGAAGAACATAAGCACAACTAAAGATTTAAATGGCGAAACCGGTAGTCAAAATATGTCTCAACAACTGGCACAACTCCAATTTATTGAATTTTTAAATTTCGTAATTTTTTATGTATAGATGTGAAGTTTATTATTTAATTTGCGTCCTCTTCATTTCCAAAGTAAACGAAATAAAAAAAATACGGAGATAAAAAATTAAATATTATTTAATTAACCTGCATAATATGAATCAATTAAAATAAAAATAATAATTTAAAAGTTCATCCTACCTGGTTCAATCTCCGATTGACCGGCAACTAGGGTAAAACCAAAACAAACTAGAATCACAACAAGCAACGGCATCACACTTTTCAGTTTACCACATTCATTCGCCACCATTTTTAATTGAATTTTCGGGGAAATCCACAATTGTAAGTTTGTAGTGTTCCGAGACGTTCACTCTAACTACCCTATATTATTTACAGGTAACGCAAAAGTACAAAGCACTAGATCGTACGAATCCGGCGCGTTATGGCAATCAACGCGGTTGAGCGCAAAGTTGCAACCGGAAAAAGTTCACCAACGAATATCTCGCGTAAATAAAAGCTGCGGAACGCTCGGGTTTCGCCGGCTCGCAGGAGCTCGCGTTGGCAACAGAACGGTCAAAATGCCACTAGCGCTGTGTAGCTGGCGCTAAGATGTTCATGTTAAGCGTGCGCCCGGCCAATAGCTCTGCAGCTCCGACACGCACCGAACGCCCACGAAATTTTCGGCGTGTTTTCGTTTTCCATTTTCCCTAAAAGCGCTAGATTTTGATTTCAGCTCGGTTGTGGACAGGTCCCCGTGGAAAGTTCAACTCGATGCAGTTTTCGGATTATTTTTGCTCTAATAAAATTACATTCTACGACAAGAAAACTTTGCAACTTGGAACCGTTAAATTCTTGAGGCGTCTCGAGCTGCGGACGGGCTATTTTAACCGAGCAATTTTCTACGGTAAACCTGTAATAACCTAATAATGCAGAACGCTTTCGAAAGTTTAACGGCGCAAATAAAATAGGTAGATTCAAACGCAAATGAAACTGAAATCAAACAATTTCAACACGAAAAAACTTCTACTAGAATTTAAAACGAGAAATAAATTCCAGCGAATTGATTAATGTAAACTTCTCGCCCAGTTTGAAAACAAAATGCATATGTGTTTAAGCTGTTACTTATAAGTATTATCTATTTTATTCTTTTGAAGTCAAAGCCTTTTCGAAAAGTATTCAAACAAACACACCCACTCGCACTAATTCTGTAACTTCCTTTGAATATTCCAGAGGATTTATGTCTTGATGCAATTTTAATGTAATAAATTTTACATGGAGCGCACAAATAACGAGTTCAGAACGGAAATATAAAATTATTTGTTTACTCCTATAACATTTTTTTGAACAACTAATTGAGATTCATCAAAAACCAAGCCTATAAAACATTGTATAGTTAACTATACCTACATGTAGATCAGTGATACTTTAACATATTCAGTTATACCACTTATCCACTTAATTTAATGCCTTCTACTTTTCGTTCATGTCATTTTTATAATCTCAAATAACTAGTCATTCGATGATTAAATGACGAACGCTTTCATTCCTGTCTCCAGTATGGACGAGACACAGCAAAGAAAACAAAAGTGAACGAGATCATATCTGAGATGCGATTAGATCGAATCAGAAAAAAAATCCATTTAAGAGAGATATTAAGAGAACCAGATAGAAATATCTAAAACCATTTAAAACCTGTTAAAAAATCACAGGTGGCCGGTTGTTAAAAGACGCCAATGTCAAGTGCTCGACTATTTTCGACTGTTACAATCTAATTTAAGGCAAGAGAAGCGCTCCTTGAAGGCACCAAATATTCAAATAGAGGGTCGGCTGTCTTAATAAAATTCGGGAATTATAGTGGTAATTTTAACAAGACTTAGGCCGAAGCGATCGTAAAAAATATCATAGCTGACATTTGGATTGTGTGGAGATTGAGATAAAAAGAGAATTTCTCGTAAAATTCATAGCAATTCATAAAAATAAATGGATTTCCGAGCGAGCCTTATTAAATGATTTATATTTTATTTCTGTTTATTATATCTAATTTAAACGTAAGTACATGACTAATAAACGACTTTGTAGGCACCGTTGATGCCTTAATTTAAATTTTTAACCTTTACACGATTTTTAAAAATGTTTGGTATAAAATCAACTTATAAATAAATTTTCCTTGATTCCAATTTAGCAGATTAATGCTTCCATCATTCCCAAATTTGTTTTAATATAATATCCCTTGCTGTGGTTTTAATTTAGGTAAAACGTTTGTGAAAATGAATATTTAAAACAGATTCCTATGAGATATTTAAGTAATACTATTCATTTGTGAGTATGTTATTAATTTCGACATTCTCGCATGAAACGTCATTGGAAATTAAGTATTCACATAAAATTTCTTATTTTATAAGGCTGAAGTCGAATCATTTTAAATTCTTTTCTATATTCATGTCAATTATTCGAACTAATTTCAATGAGTTGTATATGTAGGTATAAAAGTGTCGATATTTTGCACCTATATGTGCAAATGTATAATTCAGTTATACGGTTATTAATTAAAATGGAAAAAATCGGAAGGGAAGGAAAAAATATATATATTTCGAAAATAATGGTAAAATTTGTAGCTTTTCCAGCGTCGATGCGTCTAACCAAGGATAAACTAGGTCTCGGTGGAAGAGTCGCGATACCATCTTATCTCCAAGTTTCCCTTTTATCATATTAGGAATCTGTGGAAGGAAAGTGTTCGAGTCGAGATGGGTAGTTTGACTGAAAAAAAAGTCCGACAGGATTTTTAAGTGGATTGTTCCCAATCGACTTTCGCATTTTTTACGGTCGATTTGTGTTTTGTTTGGCAGCAGGCCTTATATCAATCTTTATGGATGGGACGGAAGTATTTTTTATGACGAGAGTTTGTTTTCACGGCCTTCTTCTATTAGATGTGATGAGAGTTTCTTTGGGAAATCGGTGTGAAAAGGGGTGGATGATTGCGGATAATGGAATTTTGAAGTTACATCCGGAACGCTCGCTCGCACTAAAGAAGCCAATAAAATAATATCCAGAAAACGTTTCGTACTTTCGCAATCCTAATGGAATCAGTTTTCGATTGGAAAAAACAGTATAGTCCAGAAAAACCGGACTTTTACGATGCCAAATGATAAATAAACTACATTATTTGTTTCAGAAAGTTTATGAGCAATAATTTTCTACTACTAACATTTTTCTAATCAAAAATAAATGATTACCTTGATACCCTCTAATCTCTTTATTAGGTATTACCTAAATGTATGTAAACTATTATAGAAACGATTATCAATATGAAATTATTAAACAAATTAATTCAAAACAAACTCAAATAGTGACTTCTCATTCAATTATGAGAGTAATAAGAAAAGGTAAATTTTCCTTCGCAAATAAAGTAATATTTCAACTTACCTTTTTCCTTCCGTTCGTAATCCCTAAACGTTTGGTTACCTCTAGCACAGAACTGAAATCTTTACATGCATTTATTCATGATATTAAGTCGGATATAGGATTTTCCAAACAATCGACGTCTGATATCGAAAAACACATGTGTGTGGTCTACCCTAGAAGTTATTTAGTGACATACGTATAGACAGAAGCTTCCCGGGATCAACTTTACATGTAAATGACTCCATTGAAAGGAAACCAATGCCCTCCAGATATAGTGGAATGATCGATATGGGAAACAGAATATTTTCGTATTACACCACTTCTATGTATTCAAATACAAACTGTAGAGATAAATACAGTAACTAGATACTATTGTACACTGAGTTAACTTAGGTTAGTACAATAGATATTATAATAAACAATCAAATTATAACTACAGATAAAAAAAGAATTTCAAACATTCCACTCTATAGGAATCGATTATTTTTGAAGAATGTCATAATATTTTTAATAAAATCTAAATAAAATCATTCATCATAAATGAATCTATTGGTAATTTCTTCAGTAGCCATTCAGGAAACAGCCTGCGGCTGTTGTGCAACTTTAGAGGCCACATTGGCGGATTTTTTCCTTCCTTCCGAAACATTGACCAATTCGCAAACACCGTCAAACTAACCATTATGATCAATAAACATAATTTTTGCACTAGACGCTCGTCGAAGTGTAGGAGGACAATTTCGATAACGACTTGCTTTCGCCTCGAATTCGAAACTGTTTTTTCATTCCATTTAGTTTTCTTTACTTTCGAGGGCGTTTAGAGAAGAAAAATGGGGTCGGCTCCTATGATCGGATCGTCGGTTCCGAAGATTCCATCAGGATTTCGATGTAATAAATAATTGAAATGTGGTCGGGGAAGTGGATTTATTACCAACACATCATCCTAAGAAATTTCGTAATTGTGTTAATGATAACCCAGGCTGGATAAATTTAAAACAAACTGATGCTTAAGGAAAATACGAGGTGTATTTTTTATATTGTCTCCGCTGAAACTGTTAGCACGTCATTTAAAAACACCTACTGCATCGAAGGTTAGAAAATGGCCTTCGGCAAAAATTTTACGGCCCATTATCTGGTTACCTGAACCGCCGAAAAGGCACCTCGTGTGTCGGTGTCGGTATATGTTAGTGGACCAGCATTCCTACGCTTCGTTATCGTCGCATTTATGCACCTGAAAGGCCGTGCCTACGTCAAAAAAAACTGTATTCATTAATCCAACCGATAGTTTATTGTTAAAACGTACTACTCGTTTAACTAGCGAGAAGGCTGTTGAATATTCCCATATAGCCTTTCGAAAAAATAATATACAGATCGATAGTACCTAATGTATCTGAAGCCTCAAAGGCCGAAAGAGGATTAAAAAAATACACGAAGAGCGCTACTTTACTCATGTTGTACTTTATTTAATATACCTACTAATGTAACACTTAATAAAGTTAATATTTACACAAATACCTAGAAGTCGGAAGTAATAAAAATATTTTAAAGTTACTAAAATTGTAAGCAACATCAGATCCAGCGACGCATAAACTTGCTTAGCTATACATATGTATGTATCTAACCATAACATAAATTTTCATTATAATGCCATCAAGCTCAATAGGTATTTTATAGCTAACTCACATAATGATGTACCAATTATAAAGTATTACTCTCCGTGATTGAACTGTTACAGCATGTGGATGAATGAAAGCGTGGATATATATTAATGTTATTTCGTTAAATAGCTTATTTATAAGCTTAGGTAGATATGCACTAATTATTTCTAATTAATAAGGGTATATAACTTTTTTTTTTATTTTATCTTATAGTAAAATAGGAATTAAGATTATTTAAACAGTTAAATTAGTAGTTTCCCGGATTTTACGACTTGTTTTCTCGAAGCGTTAAGTGGGCCCTAAATTAATTTAAAAGGTTTATTGATTTATATCTACATTTACTAGAAAGGTTACAACTCTGACTTTTATTGTGTTCTTTTAATAGGAAATGTAATGTATCTGAAATTACCCATCGTACATTTTTTATTGTTAATTTTAAATAAAATTCCTCATTAAGGAGAAATTTTGTTTGTCATTCTTGTCAAGCATATATTATAGGTATCTA